CGGCCGGACGTCGTTAAGGGCGACACCTCCTCGGCGGCGGCGCTGCCCCCGGGGTTCCTGGAGGCGACCAAGGGCAGGGGCCTCCTGGCGAGTTGGTGCGACCAGGAGGCCGTTCTGCGGCACGAGGCGGTGGGCCTATTCCTGACGCACAGCGGGTGGAACTCGACGCTGGAGAGCCTCGGCGCCGGGGTGCCGATGCTGTGCTGGCCATTCTTCGCGGAGCAGCAGACCAACTGCCGGTACAAGTGCGTCGAGTGGGGCGTGGCGATGGAGGTCGGCGACGACGTGCGGCGGGAGGCCGTGGAGGCGAGGATACGGGAGGCGATGGGTGGGGACAAGGGCAAGGAGATGGCGCGCAGGGAGGCTGAGTGGAAAGAGGCCGCCGCGGGGTCGACGGCGACGAGGTCGCTCGCGAACCTCGACAGGCTCATCAACGATGTGCTGCTCTCTCCGGCACGATTGGCGGCTCACTCAAAATGGCTTCAATGATGGATGGCCCTGATCAAAGTTTGGCGATGCTGAGCGATGGATGAACGATGATGAGATCATCTACCGACTATCGAGAGTCTGGAATGCCCCCTTCGTGACTTTTGTGACCGTGTGATGTATGCGTTTGGATGAACGATGATTAGATCATTTCCAAGAGCTCCTTAAAACAAGAGTTTAATTTGGTTTTCTTTAAAAAACATGTCCCAAACATTATTTTTAAGAATTTAAATTATTAATGTAGTTCGATTTTTCTCTCTTGCATATGATATGGGTGCCACGTCGGCCAAAATTACTTTTAAAACCACAAAGCAAACATCAACGGTTTCAAAAACTAGAAAAGATCAATAAATCGGTTACCGGACTTCGACGATAATTAGATAAGATCAAGCTATCTTTTACCTTGTAGCTTAGAACAACCCTGATTGGGCTGAGAGAATCGTGGCCTAGGGTGGCCCGTTGGTCGTTTGAGTTCGTTTTGTCTATATAGCGACGAATTCGTCTACATTTTAGTTTACATTACATTTGTTGTAGTGGATTCAATACGTGCCATGTGATCTTAGCATTTCTTCATCTGTGAAATCTTGCATCCTACATAAGATTTATCCGTGCAAAATCTTAGACAGATCCTTTTTCAGTATGTAAAAATATTTTTGAACATTGTTCATATAGGTGATGTGGTTATCTCCGTCTAGATCCGTATCTCATATGCTAGGGAATTGACTAAGAGGCAAAGGAATGGAGAGAACCTATTTTCTAGGGATCTCAGATCTTATTATTTGCGTAATTTGATGTTTGCACAACAATCAAGTTTTTAAGGAAAAACAATATAGCTTTAGCTATGAAGGTGCCTCGGCAAAGTCCCTCCAAGAAAAACTGCACTATGAGAAACCGGCACAGTTATCTGAATTTGGTGTGTTGAACAGATTATTTCAACCATTGTGGCAAGAAGAACCCAAGCATTCCCAGTTCCCAGTAGAAGAAATTTACATTTTTTGTAAATGTTCATGCACTAGGTCATTATAACTGGGTTTATGTCTATCTATTGGATGTAAAGGATAAACCATTTGTATCAATGCTATCACTACTTGGATTTCGCTATATTTTAGATGATAATTAAACATGATTTCATATTTGAAATATCGTTTTTGTATGGAGAGACTTATTCATGAGATTTTCACGGTTTTGTGGTTCCAACATTGATCTGTGGTAGCTTTCTTATATTATTTAACTTTTGCTGATTTTTCTTGTTTTTTATTATTTGTTTGAGGCATTGTTTTAAATTCTTCGATAGTGATAAGCAGCACCCGGGAAAGCAAACACGCAAACAACAACTCTCGTGAGTCCTCAATTTAGCTGCCAAACAGCCACAGAACCCCGGGTGGTGGGAATCAAAAGTCCAAAAAAAAATCCACGCGTGTGGCTATCTTCGCTGGGCTCATTTGCCCTTAAAGTCCTGTTGTGCTACCCATAGACAACAATTAGTAACCATTGAATTGAAACCCATCCTCCTTATTTCTAACTTTCAATTGAATAAAGTATTCACCCTCAATTTCTCCAATATAAAAATTAGCAGACTAACACCTAAAATTATGCCCCCGATCTACCTCAATGAGGTTTAATATGCCATAAAAGGTATTTTCTAGCACAAAGATTATTGATGAGGGAAGTCTTAGAGCAATCTCTCCTCCCGGTTCTGGAAGGCCTAAGAAATATAAGTTCTTTTCTAAGACTAAATTTAATAAAACCTTAAAATTTCATTGAATCCAACCGCTGCAATTCAAAAAAAAATCCTTTCATCTTTTGTTTCTATTGCTTTTATTCCTCTTCTTTTTCATGCTACTCGCCTTCTTTGTATTTTTTTTCGAACTTGTTTTTTTTTCTGGATGTAGCCATAAGATCACTTAGATCCATGCTATCACCATCCCACAAACTCTCTGCTAAATCCCCACAAATGTGGTTCAAAGCAGAGCGATCAGGTCCATCAACGTTCTCTGCTTCATAACTTAGGGCGCATTTAGTTGGTGAAATTTTTTGGATTTGGCTACTGTAGCACTTTCGTTTGTATTTGGCAATTAGTGTCTAATTATAGACTAATTAGGTTCGAAAATTTCGTCTCGCGATTTCTCACCCAACTGTGCAATTAGTTTTTTTTTTGTCTACATTTAGTACTCATACATGTGCCGCAAGATTCGATGTGATATTTTAGGTTGAAAATTTTTAGGAACTACACAGGGCCTTAGACTGTCTCCAACGGGGAAGGCAAAGGGCGACCTATACCCAAAATCCCTCGCGCACAGTATTTTGCGTCCTAAATTTACGCTCCAACGGAGGACGCAAAGACGGCACCCATTTTGCGTAGGAACCGAGTGGGAAGGCAAAAAAGCGTCGTCGTTCTCGGCGACGCAAAACGCTGCAAAGAGAGAGGGAGGAGCGACCGACGCTGCACAGGGGCAGGGCCGATGGAGGTCGGTGGAGGCGCGGCTGCCGTCGTGGAGCCCGGATCCGCCCGGCCGCCATCGGAGGGAGCAGGGGTAGGCGACTTGGTGCCCCTGCAAAAGCGGATCCCGGCGAGGTCGCGGCTAGCGGCTCTGCTCCCTCGGCGAGCTTGTGTGGATCCCCAGCGAGCGGCTCACATCCCCGGCGACGTCGCGGCGAGGCGTGCCCCTGCGGAAGCGGCTCCTCCGGCGTCGGCTGCACCTGCGCGCAGATCCGGAGGGGGCGCTGGAGGCGGGGTTGGAGGCGCTGCGCCTGGGGAGGAGGGGCACGGCCGGAGGAGCTCCTGCCTTCTCTTCCCTGGATCCGGCCGGCCGGCTCCTTCCCCGGCGCCCCTGCCTTCTCTTCCCCGGATACGGCCGGCTCCTCCAGTGCATCCGCTGGAGGCGACGCGGAGGGCTCGCGGGACTCGGTTGGAGGCAACACGGAGGGCTCGCTGGAGGAAGGGCGTGGCCGTGGTGCTGCTTGGCGACAAAGGGAGGACCAGGCGCGCGGGGACCAGGCTGGGGCCGGAGCAGCGCCGCCGGCGAGGAGCGCTGAGTCTTGTTTTGGGTTCGTCGTTGGAGAACGAGGGATTTGGGTCCGTGACGTATTTTCCTGAACGTGACTCAGATCCGGAATGGGTCTCATATTTGCGCTCTCATGGTTGAGACAGTTTTAGAACCTAAAAAAAAAGGTTTATACCATGTACTACCGAATTTTTAATAGCATATATTATACTAATGGTACAGCTAATCTTGGAAGCTAGGCTGAAGGGCTCGGTTGGTGGCCAGAGTCACTATAGTTGATTTGAACCTCAACTCCCGGGCCGAATTACTAGCCACTACTAGTAGGCAGTAGTCACTGACGTCGAGTCGAATTGCTAGCCAGTAGCCACCAAGTAATCCATTTGTACGAATAGTCCATAGTCGTTGAATAGTCGATGCTATACTGATGTTTCAAGCCAACCCGAAGCCTAGTTAGAACAGCTAGCTGATCAAGTGGCAGGTTACAGCAAGACAGCAAGTAGCTCAAATGGATACTTTTCTTCAGTTCTTCTACACCAGACGGTTTACATATATTCATATGAATCTGCAATGCAGGAAGCACAATAGCACAACGAATCTCTTGATCCAGACTTCTAGACGGGGAGCATCAGCAGGAGGTCGTCATAGGCACGGGAGCAAACAGCGGTGGTAGCTAGCTTAGAAGACGATCTTGGCAGTGGGCAGTACGTACATGGCGCCAGCAGCCGGCAGAGATGTACAGCTGCGTTGCAGCGGGTCAAGGCCACCGGAACACACTCGAGGTAGGCAGCGAAGCGAGGACAAGGACCAGACCACCGCTCGCCTGCATGCAGTGGCTTTGCACGACCAAAACACAGGATCACTTTGGTCTCGCACACACTCTGCTCTGCTCACATAGCACATCTTTCTAAGCTCTGTACTGCTCCTTCCTCCCAAGCTTTACTGATTTTTATTATGGGACTGTCTACCTATCATTCGAGCTAGTACGTTACTCCGTACTAGCTAGGTCGGCACAACCATTGAGGACGTCCTAGTCCTACACAGGCTGCCGAGCCGGCATAGCAGCCCTTCCGCGACATCATGGAAGGATGACGCCAGTGCAACGGTTTCGGCGAGATAGCCACAGTCCATCCCGTCGCCGAAGATAGCAGGCAAGAGCAGCCAGCCAGCACGCCGTGCCCGCCACGAACGCCACGACGAGCGGCGTCGCCAGCACACGCGGCAGCCTCGCGCCGCACCACCGCTCGGCGCACACGCACGCGCCGTGCAGCGCGAAGAACGCCGCGACCTGCCCCGTGGGCGCCCTGAACGTGAGGTAATACACCACCACCTCGTGTATGAGGCCCGACACGAGGAAGTGTAAGGAGAAATTACTGGAAAAGGAAGAACAGCAACAACAAAGTAGTGAACGGCGCGATGACCGGATTTGTCAGGAGCAGAGTTTAGTTTTCTGTCTATCCTCTATACCCTCTCCTCTCTCCTTGCTCCTACTTAATACATGGACTAGACTTGCTACATTGGGCCAACGATTCTTGTACTGGGCCGACGTAGTCTCTTGGGCCAGACAGCTAGAGCAGCCTCCTCTTTAGCTCCAGGCGCGACGTCTTCACCTGTCACGGGCACGGGCAGGGGCAGGCTGCTAACATTCCCCCCATCTTCAAAACCAGCATGTCCCCATGCTGGTGCTCGTGGGAACTGTTGACGAAGTTGCTCGAGCGGCTCCCAAGTAGACAGCTCCGGAGGTGAATGAGACCACTGGATAAGGCCTTGCGCCACAGGCCGAGCCCCGGATGTCCAGCGGCATTGCAGCACCCGAAGCGGAAACTGAAACTGCTGCAAGTCAGAAGGTAGTGATGGCGATACCTGCTGATTGCCTAGAGAAGAACGCAGCTGCGAGACGTGGAAGACCGGATGGACAGCAGCGCCTGGTGGAAGTAGCAGCTTGTATGCAACTGGACCAACCTTTTGAATGACTTGAAATGGCCCAAAGACCTTGAAAGATAATTTGTTGTTGGAGCGGTGGAACAGTGATGACTGAATATAGGGTTGGACCTTCAAGAACACCACGTCGCCCACAGAGAATTGACGCTCAGAACGGCCTTTATCAGCTTGGCGTTTCATGCGAGCCTGGGCACGGAGCAAGTGCTGCTTGACAACAGTATGCATGAGCTCTCGATCAGCCATCCATTTGTGAAGTTCAGGCACTGGAGCCACCTCATCCAAGTTCACCGACAACAGGCGTGGAGGAAAACCATATAAGACCTCAAAGGGGGAACATCCCAGCGCTGAATGTGTAGATGTATTATACCAGAATTCAGCGAGTGGCAACCAACGACTCCACTGAGCGGGGCAAGTGTGCACAAAGCAGCAAAGAAATGTCTTGAAGCACTGGTTGACACGCTCTGTCTGACCGTCCGTCTATGGATGGTAGGCGGAGTTGAACTGAAGCTCGGAGCCTGCTGCCTTGAACAGAGATTTCCAAAAGTTGCTGGTAAATATGCGGTCGCGGTCGGAGACAATAGCTCGAGGAAGATCGTGAAGGCGATACACTTGGTCCATGAAAATCTTGGCAACAGAGGCTGCTGTAAAAGGATGACGCAGTGGAATGAAGTATGAAAACTTGGAGAACTTATCCACCACTACTAAGATTGCATTGAACAAGCCAGACTGTAGCAACCATTCAATGAAATCCATTGAGACAACTTCCCATGAAGCAGACGGTACTGGAAGTGGCTGCAAGAGGCCTGGATAACGGGATCGGTCTGGCTTGGCTTGCAAACACACAACACATGACTGAACATAAGCCCAAATGTCAGATTTCATATCAGGCCAGAAGAACAATGCTTTAATCTTACTGTATGTCGCTGGTGCTCCTGAGTGGCCACCCAATGGACTGCTATGTAGGGCTGTCATAATTTTAAGCTGCATGGACTTATTAGAACCCAGCCATAGACGGTTCCTGTATCTGATGACTCCTTGGATTAAAGAAAATGGAGGGCGGCTATCGGGGCTGGCAGCCAGCTGAGACAACAGATCCATAGCAGCTTGGTCAGAATAGTATCCTTGGACAACTTCATCGAGCCAATTGTGGGAGACTGAAGATATAGCATAGCTCATGGTTGGGTGCACTCGGCGAGACAGGACGTCTGCAGCGCCATTTTCAGAGCCTTTCTTGTAGAGAATCTTATACTGTAACCCAAGCAATTTGGATAATACTTTCTGTTGCCATGCAGTATGTAGCCGCTGTTCATTTAGATGGACTAAGCTGCGATGATCAGTGTGAATAAAGAACTCGCCTTAAAGCAAGTAGTGACGCCACTGTTCGACAGCCATCAATATAGCGAGATATTCCTTCTCGTAGACTGACAACCCTTGATTCATGGGACTTAAAGCTTTGCTAATGAATGCTATGGGGTGCCCATTCTGCTGTAAAACTGCTCCAATTCCTGACCCGGAAGCATCAGTTTCAATGTGGAAGGGCAAGCTAAAATCCAGCAACGCCAAGACGAGGGCAGTACAGAGAGCTTGTTTCAGCACAGAGAAGGCAGACTCATGGTTTGAGGTCCATATGAACAACTGATCTTTCTTCAGGAGATCTGTTAGAGGCTTGGCAATGATGCTAAAATGACGCACAAATTTCCTGTAATAGCCGGCAAGGCCCAGGAAACCTCGGAGCTCCCATACTGAAGAAGGAATGGGCCATTCGAGCACTGTTTGCACCTTGGCTGGGTCCGTGGAAAGGCCTTGGCTGCTGCTGATATGACCCAAGTAGGAGATGGACTCCCTAGCAGTAAGAACGCCAGAGGCGTGGGTTTTCGCCATCAAATTTAGAGAATGGAAGTTTAGGGAGGCGGCCAGTTGGATGTTGAAGGTCATGGGTGCCGTGAGGAGTTGACAGTGGTGGATGAGGAGGTATGTAGAGCGGAGGGGGGCGCGGTGGATGCGGGGAAGGGTGCGGATGTGGAGGCAGGTGTGGAGAAGGGTACGGTGGAGTAGGTGGCCGGTGCGGAAGCTGTGGTGTCGAGCGTGGATGAAGGGGAGGAGGAGGAGGAGGGGGAGGCGGGTCGGATTGCTTACTCATGACCGGGACATGAGTCCAGACCGCCCCAGTCCCGAACCCACCATCCCGGTGACGACGATGCATCGCCGTGCGCACTGGGCGCAGATGAAGAAAAGGCGACGATGGTAGGCCATTGAGGCAAAACGTCGAACACCTTAGAGTCACGACCTTGGGATAGCTTCTACAGCTCGATTCGCAAGTCGTCGACGAGCACCTCCATCTCTAGGTGCCAAGTACCGAGGTCCGTGGCGGCCACCTCGAGGGCGGTTGAAAGGATCAAGATGCCCAAGAGAGGGGGTGAATTGGGCTAATTCTAAATTTCTTTGCTATAATTAAACCCTACGGATAGCCCAATTAACCCCTTGTGCTTAGAAAGTGTTTCTATTGATCTAATGCACAAAAGTTTAGCAACATATGTTCCAATCCTACTCTAGCATGGCAATTCTATGAATGTAAATGACAAGAATTGAATTGCTCAAAGTAAAGAGACAAGGAGGAACGTGGCGATGTTTTGCCGAGGTATCGGAGAGTCGCCACTCCCCACTAGTCCTCGTTGGAGCACCCGCGCAAGGGTGTAGCTCCCCCTTGATCCGCACAAGGATCAAGTGCTCTCTACAGGTTGATTCTTCAACACTCCATCGTGGTGAATCACCCACAACCGCTCACAACTTGAGTTGGGTCATCCACAAGCACCGCCGGATGATCACCAGGCTCCCAATCACCACCAAGCCGTCTAGGTGATTGCAATCACCAAGAGTAACAAGCACGAACTCTCACTTGACCATGACAAGCCTAATGAGAAGGGTGGATGCACACTTTGCTACTCTTGATCTCACTAATGAGGGCTCTCTTTGGGATTCTCAGATCTCAATCACCTCACTAGGACCTTGCTCTTTTTGGCACTCTCAAGGGTGTTTCTCAGCTGTTGGAATAAGCAAAAGTACCCCCACACACGAATGGAGGAAGTATTTATAAACCCGACTGAAAAATGAACCGTTATGTGCCTCTGCGGGGTGACCGGACGCTCCGGTCAGTTCACCCCGAACTCTAGTGTTAAAGTAGTGACCGGACACGTCCGGTCCTGATTTTCCCTCTCTGGAACCTTATTAGAGTCGACCGAACGCTGGCCCTAAACGTTCGGTCACACACCTCTCAGCGTCCGGTCACGCCAGACGATTTCACCTTGATCAAATGAACTGACCAGACTCTGCGCCAGCGTCCGGTCAGTATTTGACCCTCCATTCACTTCCAACTCTCAATCATATGTGAATGAAGTTTGCTCCATTGGATCGAAGGGCTATTTTGGAGCTACCTAGTGCTAATTTTAGCAAGTGTGCACCACACCTAACCCACTAGACTCACCTAGGTCAAGCTACCTATCCATGCCCCCCTTAATAGTACGGCCAAAGGAAAAACAAACTCCTAAACTACTCTAAGTGTCTGTTCAACTCCAAACGACACTTAGAACTAGTCCATCCTTAACCTTATCGTCCATCCTTTGAAAACCGAAACGATTTCCATCGTAGGGGCATGACCACTGAAGCGACCTAATTTTCGCGAAGGGAAATCCACAGAGTCGAAGTGTAATAAGACCGTTGTAGATCATATTACCCAAATTCCAGTCGAATATCATATCCATATAATGATAATATCATAGTACAAATAGTGCGGAATTACATAAATTATTACATCGCCGCATTGGCGGAATCAAAAGTAGCATTCATTCAGAACAGCTTGATGATAAGATCGCCAAACTTGAGCGTAGGAACGAACCCCTCAACTGTCAAACTCCTCGGAGCTATACTCCTCAGCAGAACCTGTGTGCTAAAATTTATCAGAATAATTTGTACTGGCCACTCCCACCCTATGAGCATTGCTTTGTGGAAATTGGATGCAAATTGGATATAATCAAAAGGAACTTATAAGGCTGGGTTTCCTATGTATTAGCATATCAAGTATTTAATAACAGTTGGTCAAGTTTTAACACCATTCCCGCACCCATTCCACCCCACTTCCGTCTAGAGCCAGGTTTCGATCCTGGGATCGATATACCATCATCTCCTCACCATCACCATACCACAACCATACCATCGCTCAGTCGACAGGCCAACTCCCTCTCGGCACTGTCTCAAGGCCCATAGCCCCTGGCTACGTCCGAACACTCACTCCCAGGGGGAGAAGAGAAGGACTCATCTCACTATCTAGTTTAAGCGAAACCCAGGATAGGTCCATAGCCGACAAGTCGGCATATGTATCGATCGATCAACCATACACTCTGCAGAGGTTTCACATAACCACAAGATCCGCCTTCCTCGCTGACCGTCGTCAACTGGGCTGATTTTGGCCGCTTGCTAGCCTAGGATAATGCCACTCTACCATTCAGCCCTGGTACACCCCAAGTCTAATCTAGGGTGGCTGAAACTGTGAGTCATGAGCCGGGTCCACAAGGTCTCCATGAAGTCTCGAAAGGGTGTGGGGGAATTCCTCCGTACCCCGTACCTCCATCGCACTGTCCGCTATCAACCTAGCAGCAGTGGCAATATCCTACCAAGTAGTCCGGCCATCCCGCACCATATAGGGCGAGTGGTACGTAAGGCTTCCCGGTGAATCTGAGTACTAGTAAGTCCTTAGGGATGACCAAGCCAGAATGTCTTCATTAGGGTTTCCATTTACCGTGCCACCATAGCACCTCCACCCTGGGCTCCTTCCATCACAGGTTCACACTCAGGGCTCCTCCCACCATGGTACTCACGATCCTCATCCGTCCGGTTCTCCTTCGAGTCTGCAAAAGGTCGCATTATAGTCGCGTTAGCGACGTCTATGGAATAGCACAAAGAAGCAATGAAAATTCAAAAGAGCCAAATGCACTCAAACATGGGTTCTTTGCGTAGAGCTTGATTTTAGATGAATTTTGGTCCTGATTTCGTATTTTTCTGAGGTCATATGAATTAGTTATGAATTTCTGAAGTTTAAATCATTTCTAAAAATGGAAAAGGCTGAATTAATCCTAGGCTGACACGTGCCATGCTGTGACTGGTCCACGTGGCATGCTGACGTCAGCATGACGTCATTGGCTCGGCTCTGAGCTGACAAGTGGGGTCCTACTGACGTCAGCATGACGTCAGTATGACGTCATCAGTTCCGACAGGTGGGTCCAGGGGCTCTTGGGTCATTGACATGTGGGTCCGGTCAAAGTCAATGTCAAGTCAACGAGCGAGTCAACGGTCAACGGGTCAGGGTCACTGACGTGTGGGGCCAGGGCTGCTGACGTCAGTAGCTGATGTCATCGTGACGTCAGCATGACGTCACCTTCGGTTGTGTTATTACTGACAAGTGGGTCCCGCGTGATGTCAGCATGACGTCACCATCCGACATGTGGGTCCAGAGTGTCTGTGCCACTAACATGTGGGGCCAGGTCAACAGTCAACGGTCAACACGGACCGGGTCTGAACTGGGCCGGTTGGGCCTGGATATGGGCTGGATTTGGGCCGGGCCGGCCCGAACACGTGGCAAGCTATGGCGCTGCCACGTCGTAGCCATGGGCTCCCACTGGGCTTCGTCTACCGTGCGGCCCGCACTGTGTGGCTCATGGTGGACTCAGGTTCACGGTCCATGGACCGTTGGCATGTCTACGGTGGACCGAGTCCACCCTCTTTCCCTTTTAGCTTGGCTCACATGCACCGAGAGCAGGCACGTACGATCGGCGAGAGGGGGCCTCTGCTTCCGTCCCCGGCGTGCTCCCGCTGGTGATATGCTCGCCGACGCGATTCTACGGCAGCGCTAGCATCCAATTAAGGTGGGGGAAAGCTTCCCCAGGCCATGGGGAACACGATGGTGGTGTCTGGGTGGCGGCCGGGGCTCTCCAGGGCGTTGGCCACGGCGGTCGGCGGCTTGGTCATGGCGGTGCTCGCCAGCGGGGCAGCTAGGGGCCATTCCAAGGGTCTTGGTGCCCCGTTCCCTTTCATACGGCCAGCGGGCGAACCGGGACAAGTGACGACGGCGACCAAAAGACGTGGCGGAGTCCGCGCGCGGTGATGGTGCACGGCGGAGCTCCGGC